TCGTTGATTTTGTTATATGTAAATCGTAGACCATACACATAGGATCGTATCCTTCTCTTGGCATCTATACTTCGCGATTTACAGACGATGGAAAGATTGTAATTGCAGACATCAAAGATAAATGATAGTATTTAACATATTCAGGATTGTAATAAATTCGTGAAGATAGTCTATGAACACTAATGATACTCTATTATTTGAAGAAATTCATAGTTTATTTAAGTTGACTTTAATAATCAAACAGCATTCGATTTCTAATAGAATGCGTTAACTATTGATCATATAATGAGTTTATATGATAGATAATACTTCGAACATCAGATCTGTTAAACTGAACTAAATCAGTTAAATACTTGCGATCTCCAACACACACATTGTTCTTTACATTTTTATTACAACACTAAGATGTATGATACATAATTAATCAAAATTGAAGTAAATAATTCTGTGGTTTTTAAAGATTTCACCTATGCTTAAATGATATTTTCACGTAACTAAATCATGAGCAAATTAACTAATTAATTGATTTTCAAATAATATTTCGTTAGAAAATCATTAATAACCCATCATAGACAATAATGAATGGAATACATCAACTCATGCTTCTTCATTACCGTTCTACTAGTTAAGTAAGTAATGGTGAACGAATGGGTCCCAAGTTAATATCAAAGAAAACAATATTCGCGTGAGCAGTAGTGGCAGCCACATCGTGTTTCGCATTTTAATTCCGCAGGAATTATGCTAACAGTTTTCTTTTAGGTTATTTTCATTTTTCGAAAAGCTATTAAAAACGGCATCTCAACATAATGGAGGAATAGTTTATATCAAGTTGTGTGAGCTAATGAAAGTGGAACTTATCATTGTGAATATAGAATATTCTTGTCGATGTTCATTCGAACATTATAAATTTCGTGCGCGAGAGAAAGAGTAAGACGAATTTCTCAATTGTATCAACGTAGTTGCAGAAAACGATTTATTTGATACTTGTGAATGAAATTTTATGAAATTACGTAGAGATGAAAATTGATTTAGATTAAAATTCAATGTTATTGATAGAAAAAAACTAAGGTTTAGTTCCTTCAAATCGATCATATTGGCAGAGAACAGTCAATTTAATTCAACTGTACCAAACAATTTGAACATATTTCAATATTAAATGTATTAAACATATTTTTTTCAAATATTAATGATATTCAAGAAGAAAATATTATTAAAGTACTCAATGATGTTGAAGGAAAATACCTTGCACAAGTAGCAAATGATTTCGAAGATAAAAAAAAATCTAAAAAGATTATAATTATGTTCATGCTATTAAAATCTTGTGTGTTTGTAATTGTTATTACGTTTAACAATGAATGGATTTCTGTAAATGAAAGCAGTTTTTATTTTTTTGTTACTCGAAAGAAGGAAAAAATGTTGTTTTTTCTTTGCAATGACTTATTATATTAAGATGAGCAAAATATAGAAGAAAAATTGTCCAAATATAGAAAAATTCTGTTCATCTCGATCGAGCAAGCACTCTCGAAAACAACAGTTTACAGAGACAAACGAATATCGTACATGGTCTTCTAGCATGATGAGCATATACAAAGCAGAATGACGATATACGGCTTTGGTACACGAAGATCGTAACAAAATACGGAGTTTTGAAAAAGTATTATCAGATGCTCTGTGTACGTATTTAAACGTTCGTTGTTTACGACGGTATGTAATCGTATTCAGTCGTATACAATTGTACTGAATGCGAAAAATCTGACCCCACTTTTTACTATATACATTAATTCATCAATGTTTTTTATTAAAATTAAACGATCTTGATATATAATTTTGTAGTGTTTGATTGAAAAAAACCACGTTTAAAACAGTCTTCAGGGTTATTAAACAAGAAGAAATTATAAAGTAAAGCAAGAACTATAGAGAGAAGAAATCATTACAAAGAGAAGTAATTATTGTAGCACGCAGAATGAGCCATAGAACTAGTACGATATTTTTCTTCTTGTATTCTTCGTCGATATTCTGTAAGAAATACATGGCGAGGAAAGAGCAAGGAAATAGAAAAAAAATACCTACATAGATTCGCTACTTTCTGTAGCTTGCTCATATCATTAGTTTTTTCGTTTCAGATTATGAAAGAAGACATTATTCTATAGGCAGCGTGTCTATGATTTTGCTTTTTTTAAAGATAATCTTATGAGAGTCATGGTGGGATGAATAACGATTTCCTCGGATCAGTTCTATTATATAAATAAGATTAAACATTTTACTTTATATTTATTTATTTTTCTGGATGTTTGATTTATATTTATTTAATAGAATATTTTCTTTTCTGCTTGTCACTTTTTTACTTCTATTAGTGTCTAACTGTGGTAACTTTCGTTGTTTCGTGGAGTTGTTTTCATACTTTTATGAGACTTTTTATCTAAAAATTTTTACATATATGTGTCTAAACGATTTGCGTTTAATTAACGATATTTTAATAGATATTATAGACTAACTAATTGTACATCAAGGCTACTTTCTTTCTGCTAAGTAGTAAGAAGTGATTGTATACCATCGTGCATGACTGAAACAAGGTCGTGTACGGAGTCCGTAATGGTCGATCTGGACATTGCTAAATAAAAATTGATCGTACTGGTGTTATTTCTCGAGTGGCTAATAAGCCATCAGAGATTATGCCTCGTCATACACCGATTAATCTTACTGAATGGTGTATATGAATTATAAAATAATTCTAAATTAGCATTGACGTTCCATCAAAGGCTAGGGACTACAAGCGACTATAGAGTATAACCATCGCCGCCGGTATAGATCATGTGGGTAGACGGATGCATATGGCAATACAAACATGATGCTGCACCTGATATGTGAGTACGGGTGTGCTTGTCGGTATTGATGTATTTCTTACTCTTCTTAACCATGATAATCTGTGGTATTGTTGGTAGTCTCTGGTCTTTGGTAACTTTTGATCCCTGGTAGCTCCTTGCCGATACTTGTAGACATTGAGTGTTATTTGTTGATCAAATAATAGAATTGTTTATAGAAATTATATTGAAATTTTAATGCGGAATTCACATAAATCTAAATTATCTTATAATTCATTTCCGCAATAGACTCGCATATAATCTTGATAAGCGTATACATTTTACACCACATGCCACATTAACATCCCCACGATATTTTATGAAAACCTGGAAAACCGTCAGATTAGGCGATTCAATCTCAGTGTAATCTCACGATTAATTGGCATTACAAATTGCAATGACCTCGCGGATTTTTGCGTGATTTTAGCAATATAGAATTTTTTTTTATCAGTAACATGGGCTCCGTGTGATTCTCTATAAGTATTACAATGTACTCAAGAGTACTTGTCATTCCAGATTGTTTGTGATACAAGATGCTCGTTGCACAGAATACATGGTTGACAACTCGCTGATATATGTGCAATGTGACTTTTTGTAGTCTCTTATTTTACACCTACACTTTTATCTTAGTGTAACTTGTTGCTCTGTGGAGTATACTTGATGAATGAGATATTCACGAACAGACGAGATCGGATTGAAGTAAACATGGATATGGACTGAAAGAAAATGCAAGTACACTACAATAGATTACTGCTGAAACATGGTAATAAGTGCAGTAGTATTTACTATCCAAGAAATTGTAAAGTGCAGGAATGCTTTTTAGTTCTTGCGGGAAGTCTAAATAATTTTTGTTGCTGCAAGATTCGACAAGTTTAATAATATGCTCTTATGAACTATCGAATTAAAACGGTAGGCTTCATCAAATTTCGGAGGCTTTTTGAAAGTATTTAACTTGCTTGCTACATAAGTGATTCGACAGAAAGAGTTTGAATGGCTCGACTTTTTTTCGATTCTTACGTTTGATAACCAAGGCACTTTTCCTTGTATACAAAATAAACACACCATTATGGATTATTCCCAATAACATGTGGAGTGAATCAGAATCTTCTGCGCCTCCGATTTCCAATTCTACGATTCTACTCAGTTTTTGACATATGTTTATATAAAAAAAATGGAGCTATGATACAAAAAATTAGAATAAACCAATCTTAGTTAGAAATATTCATTTAAAAAATTTAACACTTACAAGTGGCATTCAATAAAAAAGAACTTTCTTTTCTGTTGATTTTTTCCATATCCATCACGGCTAGTCCTCTCTCGAAGCGTAGTCACTTCGTCAGGGTACTATAGGTCTTTTGAGCCGCCGTCACACAAGATTATATTATTATTTCGAAATTGTACTTGGTGGATCTTCACTCTTACTTTTTGTTTATGTGATACTTATCAAAGCTGCCAGCGTCAGAATTCGTAGTGACTAAGATGCGTGATATTAGTTGGCTATACTGTGATTCTTGGTTATTCAGCACATTGTCTTTATTCTTTCTAATTACTATTTTCATTCGCAATAGATGCAAATTATGTTAGAGTCATCTTCAATAGGAATTTTTCTTGCTAAAAGATGGCACCTATTGATGTCGGGAAGTTACCTTTCCTAGATTTAATACCATCTTTTTTTAGAAACAATCTTTGTGATAGCGCCAGTGCATTTTGGCATCGAAATTCGAACTCGATTTTTGCGAATAGAACTCATTCTAATTCTGTCTCTATTGTCTATCCGTCCGATTTCATCTCTACATGCATTTTGAGTATTTATCAATCAGTACAGTTACCATTATTAAAAGCAGTCGATGATTGAAGAATTGCCTTTGCGGGTTAATGCAAACTTATCTCAGTTTTAAAACGATCTTTGATAAAAGCCCAGCTAGAGAATAAAACAGGTGTCAATCGCATGTATTTCAAAGCAAACATATGCCGATAATATCAGTAGTAGTTAACCAGTTCAAATCTCTACTTCACTACAAGTATAAGATATCTGAGAACGAAAAAAAAACTATAATGAAACTATATGAATAGTTGTATGTTTCTCACTTAAAAAGATGTTCTGATCTATTCAAGGAGATGTTAAGTAGTCAACACTATTTACAAAGGTTTAGCTTCCAAGACTAATTGACGCCATCTAATTGTTTCATTTGTAGTGTCATTAAATTGATGATATTCGTTTCTAACTATTTTCCAATCACCAGAACATCGCAAGGGAGGCTTATTGAGCAATTGTTGAATGCCTGACCAACGCCAAGAGCAATTATTAAATGCACAAATCTTCGGTTCAACATACATAGAACACAAGGGGCATTTAGTGGTTGATTCATCAGAATCTATCGCTACGTCGAATTTTTTCATTCCAATACAGATAACCACGTTTCCTTGATTGTAAGCTTCACAATATTCATTGATACATGGTCCTTCCAGGCAAATTCCTGGTGCTGTATGTCTCCATTTAGGAACACCATTATTCAAGAAATTATCTGAACGATAATACTGCTCGGTAAGAAGTCGCTTCAATTCATTGAAAGTTGGCCTATCACTTGGTAATTTGGCCCAGGTTTTGTTAATGATAGCCCAATATGGTTGACTGCAATTTGACGGTTGATGTAGAACATCGCCCATTGTCACTAGCTGAATAACGTCCTCATCTTTTTCCACATTAGCCCATGGTAATGTAGATCGTGAATATGCTTCCCACATCAATACACCCATCGAATATACATCAGATTTTTCTGTATAGTGATCAGGTTGTGTGCTATCTAATAATATTTCAGGTGCAGCATATCGAACAGGAACTATGTCCAGTTGTGTTCGTGCGTTACTAGGTAATACTGAAAACAATTGACTAGCACGACTGAGACCAAAATCAGTAAGTTTTACAACATTCTTGTCTGGATTATTTGAGTCAAAATGAAATACAAGAACATTTCGACATGCTAAATCACCATGAATGACTTGATTAGATACCAAATATATCATTGCTTCAATGATCTGTAGAAAGACTTGAATAAGGACTTTTTCATCGGGAATCACTGTTTGCTCTTGCAATAAATCGTACAAACTCCCTTTACATGCATATTCTTGTACTAAGAGTACTGCTCCGCTCTGCTCATTACTACCTTTGTCGTTGACAAAACCAAATGTTCGAACAATGTTTGGATGACGAGTGAGTTCAACATAGAACGATGCTTCTTTTTTTGCTTGAGCACCATTAATTTTCAAAAGGACGATTTCGGGTAAATTTTCATTGTTTAGTAACCATTGGGCACGGTAGATCGACTTTGTTTGTGTTTGAAAGAATGGTCGATGTGATTGACGTATATCGATGCCAAGTGTAAACTGATATTTTTTATTGCGTGTTAACTCTTCGAAAGAGTCGACAATCTTCTTTACCAAATGATTTGGATAGAGATGTTCAATAGATAACGGTTGTTGTGTAATCGGACTTTTACCAGTTCTTCGAATCCAATCTTGAATAGCAGCTCTTTCATAGGTATGACCATCTTGCGCTACCACTGGGTTACGAAATAATGTAAATGATAGTGGACATAATAATAAGTCACGCGATGCACTCATATCAGCCATTGTTACGATTTTTATACTTCTGTCTATTCAATCTAACTATGAAAAGTAAAACAAGTGTGTTTCTTTCATACAGCCAAGATCAATCATAATGCTTTGTACCATAAATCAATTTTCTAGAAAGTATAACAGACATGTTGATCGAACCATTTAGAAAAGAAGAAACAGATTTTATCATTCATTTGCTTTCTGGATGTGGATGAGATGAAGATCCACAGCCAAAGCCACATACACACATGCGGTCGATATAAATGTTAGGATATGTAGAGCGACTGTTAGAGGCTTTATCTTCTCAGTAGAAGTTGTAGCATAGTTTTAGAACGTACTATCGAATAAAGAAAATCAACTTAATTCAGATTTGAAATTCTGTATTCGCCATATTGACTATTGTTGCATCCAGAAACTGCGTATTGCTATTGTTTTTTTTTCCTTTTGTTACTCATGTGGCTTTCATTGCATTGCACAACTTTATGGTAATGTTGGGTATTGCGTTCGATAAAACATGAGTCATGGCTTGTTTTGAAAGAATATTTATGCAAGAGAGAGAGAAAATGAGTCATTCACTCCTTGGAAGAAAATCGTGCAATTGGAAGGAATGCCGATAGAGAACTCACACTTGCAGTTGTTTTCATCGCTTGAAATAAAATTGCATTAACCAATGTGATTAGTGTCGTTGCTTTGTAAAACTAATTGGATTGCTTAATTTAGTTGACTTCACATGGTGACAACACAGCTCTTGATCCAACCTTGAAATAAGTGAGTTATACATGAGCCTTGTACCAATACGGCTCACCTATTCTAACCAATCATAAGTCAAATTGTTGTTTGTGTCTTCTATAGTTCGACCCTAAACGAATCCAATTGAATAGCTGAAAGGAAGAAACGAGCATATGTGACATCACTTTGTTGATGTTTGTTGTTCATCTACGTGAGATTTTCTTGATTTTTCGTCCTTCTTCGAAACACATTTCGATGTGAAGTTTCAGAATGGTGATCGTTTGTAATGGAGTCTATTGAAGCGCCGCATTATATTTGAGCTCCATTAAGAGATATATTGGGAGCAACGGAAATGACCCTAACTGAAACGAATTAGTAAACTGAAAAAAAATTGTACCATACAAAACTTTAAAAATATTTTGAATGTTGCAAGGAAATAGAAAAATTTTTAAAGTTTCGTCAAAAGATGGTTTCGTAGTCGACATTTCGCCAGTACTCCAATGGAATGCCATTGGCTCTATTTCTATATCACTATGCTCATTTAGACTGATAGATTACCTAACCTAACTTCAAAACATACTACCTATATCTATATCTAACTCCTTAACCTATATCTATTCATTTATTCTAACCCTTAATCTATATCTAAATCTTTATCCTTACCTTTAATGTATATCTAACTTGTCAGCCTATATCTGTCATATTATTCTGACCTCTTAACACATGCTTATTCCCTTATGCTACTCTTTAATCTACATTTAATCACTTATACTAAGCTCTAATCGATACTATTTCGCTCATTCTAGCCCGTCAACTTATACCTCTAATCCATCTCCTTATTGTATGCACTTTATCTAATGCCTTAATCACTCCGGTCAGTTCAATGCTTCAAGCTTTTTTTAACCCAACCATTTGTCCTATCTTCTTGAGTAGTGTCACATATCCAAGATTTTGGAGATGCCACCACATCTCCCGTGAGAGATGCCGTGTCTCCAGCGGGAGACGCGACACCCACACTCGAGAGATATGGTCATTCACTACTGGAGATGTAAGATCTCCTTTAGAGATGCGCATCCCCCACACCCACAACCGCATCTCTCGAGCGAGATACGGCATCTCCCGCGGGAGACATGGTGGCATCTCCAAAATCTTGGATATGTGACACTGCTGATCTTCTTAGTCTAATACATAAATCTATCTGATCAGTTCGACGCGCTTATTATTACTCTGAACGAACACACTAAAGAAGTGTTTCGCTTACGACTCAATTTTAGTCTTCATGTATGCTCTTAGTGTTTGCGTGTAAATATGCATCGATTGAGATATGTTTATGCGAAGAACTCTTCGAAACGGGTGAACAATTTACGCTATTCTCATATTTAGATTGCCTTGTCAGTTCGTGATATAATAAAAATGAAAAAATGGTTGATGATATCACTCAAGTGGTTAATAATAACAGGCAACTGGTCACATAACCATTAGTATTAAGTTAAAGCTTTCCTGTAAACACACAATATACTCAAAAGTTAGTGAATAAGTAGTTTATGTGTAGGTAATAGTATTTGAATGAAATTTTCTTTCTCGCAGATAGTTTATACTGTTAGAATAACCTTATCTTCTTGTCAAACTTGACTAACAGTATCGTAAGTTGTAGTTGTTAGGCGTTGCAACAGAGAATTCCAAAATTTCGAAAAAACGTATTAAAATTTTGATTCCTAAATTCAGAACGCTTTTAGTTAGATTCTACTGGAGAAAACGTTACTTTTAAGGAGTAGTTTCCCTCTAGAAACCAAAAATTGATAACTCGAAATTTCGAAATACGAAGTACAGGTTCTGAATGTTTCATCTTGAAGACATGTAGTCAACTTAAAAGCAACTCATTTTTTTTTCGAGATAGGCGTTTCCCGGCTCGTAATAGATACAATACGGTAGTATATTCTCATACCAACAATTTATACTTTTGATTTCAAGTAGATTATACGTTAACAGAAGAAATCTAAACAGAAAATGAAGGTCACCGCTTCTCATTATTAGTATTTCGGCATGTGCAGTCAAATCGCACGAAATTTTCTGAAAATATTAACGGTGGATCGAAGAGGTTATACTAAAGTTTTGAGTTCGGTACCATGACGTTTTCGAAAGGTATGCATCAAACAAGGGTGAAAAATAGCTCCTTCAGCCTTCCAAACTTCTGAATTACTCTTCATTTCAACGATTCAATTTGTTTCCTTTGAACGAGCTTTCAGAACATAGCGTTCATCGAATATCTTTTTTTCAAATATATAGTTTCTTTCAGATAGAGGAGGGTGAAGATTCGACATCCTCGAAGACACTTCATAAATTCGGACTTTTAAAAGCATTTTTGAGATATGGTTGAGATATAGAGCTTTTCATGATATTCCTTCTCCAAAAGAAATTAAAGAATGTAAGAAAACGTTCTCGACAGCCTTTGCATTACATTGTGCTCTTACAAAATAAATTAAATATATGGAGTGAAGGGCAAGAAAAAATGTTGGAAGTCTTAATGAACTATTTTTATGCTTATTTGATATATGCCTCTCTAAAAACATCACATTATACAGCTGAAAAATTCAGTATATCTTCTCCATTATGGTCCAATCAATCACTTAAAAATTTCATGGAATTTGAATTTACTTCATCCTAAACCAACTATTAAGAGAGAAGTACATTATTACTTGAGAAATGCATTAATCCTCACCCTCAACGAATCACATTATCTCTGTCTCCCACTTTTTTATTAATATGGATGGTATGTAAAGCTACTAGAGGTCTAAGTTAATTTAACTGCGTGAGAAATTTAGTCCATCTCGAACGCAATAATTCTTTCAGTGAAATTTTGAACCGCTCAAAGATTCAGGGAAGAAAGAGATATGATTATTACATAAGTGAAACACTCTCTATTAGTTCAACAATAAACTTAGATGCCTCCAATTAGTCGAATTGCTAATTGATGAACTTATGTCATTATTATGGGTGAAACAAGGCAAAAGTAGTTTGGTGCTAAACCTCTTGACTGCAATCCCTTTATTTAGAAGGTATAGTAGGAAACCTTTTTCGAGTAGAAAACTCCTAATGGTTTTACCAGAAATCTTATAAGTTCCGTAGCGTACCTTTTTTCAGTTTAGACAATGAGCCAAATAGAAAGATTTTAAAAATATGCTTCTAGCTTATGATAAAGTTCATTTTCTGTTACTCGGTGTCTTATCCATTGAGCCAACTCTCGTTATTGCCGCAAAGATCAAGATTTCTAAACGGCATTCTTCAGCACTCAAAAAACATTTGATTGCACAACAAATCTCGTCTTCATCCGCCACTGACGTGGATTCATACTTCATATGAAGCCGCTGATAGAAGAAGAACAATCAGCAGCTGTTTCTGAATGCTAGCTTGTCGTACTTGTATCGTTCGCAAAATTTTGATGGATTTAGAGTTATGTATCTTAAGAAAATTACTATAAAAAAAGATATAATTATGGCGCTTTTTGGGTGTCGAAACGACTAACATGTGTCGAATTTCGAACATAATTCGAATAAGAAAAAGAAGCGTACTGTTCACTATGAATCATATTACATATTGATCGACAAGTCCTCTTGTAGAAAATTGTCATTGCTCATCGATTCTTCTATGTAATTTAACCAGTATATACATCCACATAAAACAAGTTATTTACACCGATTTTCAATGTTAAAACTTGCTGGTATACGAAAATAGAGACTAATGTTGAATTGGTCAAGACCTTGTTTTTTTTTCTCGAAATTTACTCTATTTATTTACATCATACAATAGAAAATGAAACATTGTACTCTTGTATGTAATAGTTTATGTATAGTTCGGTTTTGATGTTTTTACACTCCTGTAGAAGGATAATTTTCCTTGGATAGATTATCTTCTTTACAGTCGAAATGAATTCATGTTAACATGAAGAGGTATAGAGGGGAATTGATCTGATGCAACCTTGAGGAACATAGACAGAAGCAGAACTGAAAATACGAGATGCTTTCTTCAAGATGTCGGTATGAGCGAATGGAGGCTGTTGTTAGTTGATGCGTTTAGCTGAAGGCAAGACTGATAGGTACACGTATTCCCATGCTCACTGCTACTTTATGATTGTTATGAAGAAAAAGAACATGCCATGAGTATGTACATTCAGAAACTACACAAAGAAAATTTGATTGATCAACAATAGTTTCGACGTCTTCATTTCACTTGTTCTTCTTTAGAAACTATATGTGGTCATACCAATTCAATTCGATCATACACAACTAATACTCCTTTTAGAGATGACAGTTAGTTACATTTCATGCACAGTTATAGACAAAAGATAGATACAAACTGATAGGATGATAATGATTTCCCTATTGTAACTCATTCTGATCGATCTATTCATGGCCAGATTAAAAACGAAATTAGACAGATTCTCAAGGAACAAACTTGTTTTATGATTACGTTATGTAAATGTTATTTTTTGTGTATTTACTAAATCTCAAATATTCTTTTGATTCTGAAAACTCTGAACAGTTATCATTTGAAACTAATTAGTGTAGGAGGATAATTCAGAAGAGTTTATTCACGTTGAAAGTAATAGGTGACTTTTTGAATGATGTAAAACTTATATTGAATGTATCTGTATAACAGTGTAATGCTCCAAGGGAGCATTACGGTGGCAAGTTAAAGTTCTTTGAACATTAATACATATGTAAATTCATTTAACAATTGATGTCTACGATAATCGATTGATGTCATCATTCGTCAGTAACGACGTATAAATATAATGATTGTACATATTTTTCTTTTGTTTATTTTATGATGATGACCAGAGGTGGAACCGGTCCGGCCGGACAGGATCGGATTTTTGCCAGTTCATCATTACAAAATTGTTGCTTGTACCCAAGAATTTTCTCTACTGAAAACGGCTTTTTTTATGATATTTTCAAGTCAGAAGAATGTATTTGAGAAAAACTCAATAGATATCTTGTAATCAACTTGACTATAAACGATTGATTGTTCTCTTTATATTTCTATCGATTTCTTTCTCGTATGTCACTCATTTTAATCTTGATCAAATAATTTATTCTCTTGTTCTATTTAGGCAGCTGCCTGAATCAAGAAAAATAAATATTTACGTTTTTGTGTTAGATTTATTATAAACTTGCCTTTTTTTCTTTTTTGAGATTAAGATGAAAAACAGATTTGATCTGAATAGCTAATTTATATCGATGTTGGGCTCGGCAAGTCGATGCACCCTGCTATAAAATATGAAGGGAGAGTTCTAGTTCCAATTTTTATTTCCAGTTCGGATTAGGAGTGGCGATTTACTGTTAATTTATATTAATTTTAAATTGGATTTACATAAATTTAAATAATTTTACAAAATTTAAATTTATGTAAATCCAATTTAAATTCAAACTAAATACAACTTTTTAAAATTTATTTTAAATTTCAATTTCTTAAAATTTATTTTTGGATTTATAAATTTTTCGTAAATGTAAATTGATCACCTCAAGTTCGGATTTCTGCATGTGAATATTCAATTCTCCCTTCGCCAACATTTTATGTGAACAGATACTTTTATAGTCGGTTATTTTCGCCGGATTTTTGCCAGTTTGGCTGTAAAATACGTCCGGCCGGTTGCTGGCCGGGCTGGACCGGACAGAAAAAACCTGTCCGGTTCCAGCTCTGATGATGACTATTGCAAATTTGTCAAAATCTTCATACAAATACAGTTGTTGTTTTTATGAAAGATCTGAATATGTTTTACAACAGTTTTTTTCTCCCTATATTCTACTAAACTTGCCGTTTTGATTACCCCGAGATCTTGGTAAAAAAAATTTCGTTGTTTTTTAATTTAGCCAATTTATTGCCCATGACAAGGTTGTTATACAATGGTCGGAGCATAGAGTCGTATCAAAGATTTATTCGAAATATTGAGGAGTTTGTTTGGAATACTGTTTCCTCAGCTGGCGACTCCACAGTGGAATGGTTTGATAGGCTTGATTTTTTCTTCATTAAATATTTATTCCATACTTTGTTTTGAGTAGTCGTTTTTGTTCTTATGTTGATTCTGCTTCTTTACTCAGATTGTGCGAGGAAGAGAAAGGAAAGAAGGTATTGAATGGTTCGACATCAGTTTCTTTTTTTATATATGAAAATAAAAACAAACAACACAAGTTGGTAGAACAGACAGCAAGAAACGACGAAAATTAAATATCCCACTATCAAATTTCAGTTTTATCTTTTGTAGAATAAAAAAAACCAAGGTACGAAAACAATGCTCAATTCATAAATTAACACATCACTATTCTGAATTATGACCATAAAAACTTATTTGATTAACAAAATTAATTCTCAAAAACACCGTTTAAACGGCATTCTACCATCCAATAGTTTACCAAGCAAGAGTAACTTATGTAAAGCGTTTCATGATAATATACTTTACACGCCGGACCAACTTCCTCCTAAGGTTGATCTTCGAAAAGATATGACCTCAGTTGAAGATCAATCGAAAATCGGCAGTTGGTAATTATTTTTGTGACATGCTCTATTGATATTCATTGCTGTGTTTTGTTTTTCTAGCGCGGCAAATGCTCTAGCAGGTGAGAATGAACGATTTTGATAATGAACTTCATCATTTGTGCATTGTTAGGAGCGTACGAATATTTGACGAAAAAACACAATGGACGAAATACCGATGTGAGTCGCTTATTTATATATTATAATGCCCGTGCTAAAAATAAAAAATTTGGTTCTGTCACTGATTCTGGTTGTTCAATGGAAAGTGCTATTGAGGCGCTTGAAGAATTTGGTACTTGTCTCGAATCCATTTGGACATACGATATTTCAAAAGTAAACACTCGTCCAAATGATCAAGCTTATCGAGATGCCAAAAATCATACCATTTCAGAAGCATTCAAAGTTGATATTGATCTGTTCGAAATGAAATCATGTCTCGCACAAGGATATCCATTTGCATTCGGTTTACGACTTTATTCATCATTTGATAAAGCAGCTGAAACAGGTTTGGTACCCATGCCGAATGCATTAGAGAGTAAACGAAAGGCCCACGGCTGGTAATGTTTTTTCTGTTCAGAAAGTATCTTATTATAGAATTTTTTTTCCAAATATGTTTTAGTCATGCACTTCTAGCGGTGGGTTACAGTGATCGATCCAAGGTGTTTATCGTCCGAAATTCATGGGGAGAAATATGGGTGAGCATTGTTTCCGTCGACATGCATTATTTTACATAGTTATCAATGATTGTGAAAAGTGAAAAAAATACACCGTTTTCTCGTATAATTCTACATGACACTATTTTAAGAACAACTTTGGAGCATGGTGAATTCAAATCTTGTATTTGGAAAACTTTTCAACATGTTTCAGTGACGACACATTCGATGCTTCCTTACTAGTTTGCGCATTTATGAGTGATAGATAATGCCCTAGAATCATCATCTACGGAAAGTATGTGATTGGTAATAAGAATTTTCGAAGTCCCTCATTTTGGCTGTATAAATATATCTTTTTAACAAATATTAATTGGCTTGAAGTTTTGAGTAGCTTCTAAGCTGTTCTAGGTTAAACAATTTTACCTTTTTGTGTGTATTTTCAGGGCGACAAAGGATATTGTTATATTCCATATGAATACCTAACAGATTCAGAGCTTTGCTTTGATGTATGGGCTATCCGGCAACTAGCTAACTGCGACTTTGGTCAAGAACACTGGGACAGAAACGATACAGTGAACTATCAAAATATTCTAACATACAGTAATAGTAATGATGATGATGACAGTAATATAGTGATCCAAGATGTAAACGAAGATGATAGCAACACTAATGCAAATGCATGTGGTTCGTTTTTCAATAGTAGAGAGTAAATAGAATTATTACGAGTTTTTCGTTGTAGATAACAATTACCCGACGAATGAAAATAATTATCCCGGCTATTTTCAACAGCAAAACGTTGGAGGAGGTTAGTTCCTCTTGAATATTGCAGAGTTTGAACAAATCTTCAAGGAAAAAATAATTTTGATAAACTTACGATATGAGAAAATCTTTTTTTCTGTTCAGGCTATCCAGGAAATTTGGGTGATAATCAAGGCTATCGGCAAAATTGGGACACCAATCAATTTGATCAACAAAATTGGACCAACAATCAGTTCAGCCAACAAACATGGAGTCCTAATCAGTTTAGTCAGCCAAGCCAACAACCATGGGGGAATAACCAGTTCTATCAGCATCATGACGAAAATAATCAGCCTGGACAACAGACTTGGGATCAAAATCAGTTCGGTCAACCAAACTGGAATAGCAACCAGTTTAGCGGAGGAAACAATCAATTCGATCAGCAAACTTTGACATATAATCAGTTTGGACAGCAGAATTGGGGTACTAATCAATTAGATCTGCAGAGTCAACAACATTGGAATAGTGGCCAATTCTATCAACCAAATCAGGGAAACAATCCGCTTAGCCAGGAGGCTTGGAGCAATAATCAATGGGCTCAGCAGAATCAGCCTCAGTGGAGTAACAATCAATATGGTCAAACTTATGGAGGTAAATAAGTAAATTTTAAAATTCTGAGGACTCTGTTTTCTAGATGGCATTTTTCGAGGAGATACATTTGGAAATCAATATCCAGGTAAATATCTTAATACTCATATATAAGAACTAGTTAAGCTGTTATGTTAGGCGATTATGGAGGAGGCAATTCAACATTTAGCGGCTTCACACATAATAATCCAACTTCGAACAATCATGGATTCGGTTAATCAAGTTTTGTTACTTGTAATGAAATTCTTTTTATGGTGAACATAAAATAATATGAAATAAAGTATGACGAAAGTATGAATTGCTACAATCAACTTCGCTCTCACTTTTCATCGGTTTTTTTTATAAGAACTATATGAATGTTGACAAAAGAACAATGTTCATATGAGTTCTGTAATTACAAACTACCCCATTTCTGACATAATATGTTTAATAAATTAACTTCGATAACGATTACATTTCAGTATGAGATTTAGATTGACATTCTCTCATAATGAGCCAGCAGTGGATATTAGTAAGACACCAAAGAAGTCTCGTCTTGCATTCAAATTTACTATAATAAACACTTCATTCAACCTAGTTTACTCTCCTTTCAGAAGATTCTTGGCTATAGTTCTCGACAGCTCGAACCTCTAAACAACAATGACCATCTTTTGTTTCTATGCACATTTGACTTTTCAAGTATCCATTTTGTTCGTTTTTCTCCTCGTTTTAATACATTAGTCGATGAATCTGAATATGGGTTTTGATGAAAAGAAGATTAACATTACACATCCACATCCATCCATGAGACAATTGTTAGTATGTAATCACCTTTATCGTAATAATTACTAGACATGTTACAGTGAGCATCTGCAGTACTACGATGATCTGGCTTCAGTTTTTACAATTGAGTATAAAGGGCTTTTTATTGTAATTCGAGACTTTTATCGTAGTCTGCTTTACTATCAGCCACTATATTAAGATTCTAGTGGCGAGAGTCAAGAGTTTCATGATTAGAAGACAATGCATTAAATAACCGACGCAAATATTTTTTAACCTCTGTCAATAGGCCTATGTTAGCCAGTGATGCCATATGTGCCGGCATCGATTTTCGCTTTACTGAACAATTCACATTCGGCCTGATTGAAAATAATTTGAAATCATGACTATTATCGCTACACAATTTCATATCAATGATCCACGTTTGATTTTGCGATGAATGTTGGCTAGTCGCAAGATGAAACCCAACATCATCAGTACTTCTTCTTCGTTGAGAATAGCAGTGAACGGAGCAATGTGTACAAAGGCTTTATGACTGTCCAATCAAGAATCAGCACGAATCTTAAACAAAACCTGCTATATATCATCATTCAACGTACTAGAATGATCGAAGAAAATATAGGCTACTTCACGATTGAGGCTTGTCGAAAAAAAAATTCACCGTAATGAATTCTCCTACAATGTTTTCTCAATGCTGTAAGTTCTTCATTCGATATCTTCTGCAATTGATAGATAATCAAATGATGATATCATTTTATGTTTTTCAAGTTATGTCCTAACATCATGAATCAAGATTTGAGCAAGAAAAGCCAATGAACAATCTGATCCGAAAGTACTTTGTTCGTAAATTAAAAAGAAGGGCAAGTTTTCGTATATTGTAGTAGAGCTTGATCAGATAGATAGTCTCGTTCTATTCCTAAATTATTCTCAAAACAAGGGTGTTATCATCTCCTACACCCACACTCAACAGTCATGACTGCAGATCGGTCTGAAACATTCTTCGTTTTTGTTCATTAGATAAAACGTCAAAAATGACTTTGGATTCATGTCGATTGAACGATTTGATAAAAAGAATATATAGAATGACATAAATCTATTATGATGTTCAACATGGAATTAATGAGATGTAGATCTATATCACTGTTATAGTGCTTTTTAAAAAGTCGTCGTTTTCAATAATTAATAGTTGAACTCATTCAGTGTCAATTCTGAGCGATGATGATAACGGTGAGTGACATGCTTCGATCATCTAGTTTAGATGATGATTGTTGAAATATATGTTAAAGATAAATCGAGAAACAAATACCGTTGATTTTTTCAATAAATCAATCGTTAGTATCTGTGTGAGGCTGATTCTTACTAATAATTCACACTTTATCAAGCTATTCGCTACACAAAAGTGTACGCTTGATATATTGTTCACATTTAGGGGTATTGATAATTCGTCTCTCTATTTCAGCACGACGAAAACGAAGAGAGCAAACAGTCATTAAGAACCGTAAAGAGCCATAAAAAAAATGTTGAATTGTGTGTGCTTGTACTTTACTGTTTTATCTGACATTCTATTATGATTATATTTCTGTGTCCGCATACTCTCAAAAATGAAATGAAAAAAGAGATCGTACATCGAGAGTATAAAGAAGTATGCAACGGTTAATTTGATTGTATACACACACATTTCTCCGCATTGTCTGTGCTGTAACCTGTTCCATAATGTCGCTTTCTTGCCCTATATTAAGCAGCAAATCACAAAGTGTCTTCGATCACTCTGTCAACTCAAACAATAATTCTACAATATCTACAATCATTGAGATTTCATGCACTCGAAAGTTTCATCCTATTGCCATATAAGCAACCATGCTTGATGTCAGGAGAGGTTTATATAGATGATACGTGAATAGAAAAGAGTTTTACAAACATCATTCATTAAGACATTAAGGAAAATGTATATCCCACGAAAAAAATAGAGACCAGCGAGAAAGATGTGAGGTGAAGGATACGACGTAACTTCATTTTAGTCTTTCAGTAGAGAAAGAAGTGATTATATCTATTTGAAGGAGGGACAGGTCACTAGATTACATGATATCACAGAAGAACAAAGAAAGGAGATACATCTAGTCGTCGCAGCAACAGGTGTAATAGATGGTAAAATGAAATAAATTCAAATAACCATAAAAACAAAAAACGAAAGAACAAAAAGAGGGTCGTAGAAGATGATAAGAAAACAGAAGAATATATGAATGTGAAGCCTGTAACAGCGGACTCCACTTTAAGAAACATGTGTCTACATACGACTATAAAATAATAACTCAAGCATATCTTCAAAACATAATAGATATAAGTAGGAATATAATAACAATAAAAATATATTATTAGTAACAAGAACAAAAAAAGAGAGAAAGAAAGAGGTACAGGAAGAACAAGAGAGATAAAAAATGAAAAAAGAAGAATAGGTGAGAACGGAGCTCGTAACACTTGGTTAGATGGAGGGTGAGGTCATGTGCTTTTCAGTGAGTTACATAGAAACTTTTTCAAAATTTACGACAAAGTATTAATCATCCATCGATAGAATGAACTTAACAAAATTTCCGATCTTTTTCAACAGGTAATATCCATGAAATAAAAGTATCATAAAATCACTAGTGTGTAGGCACGTTGCAAAACACTTCAGCAATGGATGCGATTGTCGACTGAGGCTTTTTCGATTTTGTCGAGAATATTTCATGACCTTGGCTAGTCGCCACCAAAAGGACAGGCAGCATGAAAATAATGGAAGCATCACAGTAGCTTGTCTTTATTTAAGCAACTAATTTCGCCATGAATCGAAAATTTCTGTCGAGAACTTGTACGCCAAACATCCTCGCTCGTCATTCTGGTGATGCGAATGTAGGGCTGCAAGTTTGAAGGAATTTTAAAAGGAAGAAGTCACTAAGCAATGAAATCGACAACCTCTCGGAATTGAACTTTTTATTTTTCCGAATGTCGATTATGATGTTATGGGCCACTTGCAATTCGAATTAGACAGTCAGATCTCAAGTTCACTGCGAACAACTTACTCAAAAATTGATATTATGTATCCTTAATTATTTCATTCTATGCAGTAGTTCTGTAAACTGTTTTCTTTTCCTTGTGAACTCTTCAGTTTTCATTAATATGTCAAATGAAATATTCTTCTTTCTTCTATCGAATAGTAAGTACATCAAGATATAATAAAATATTGTTCTTTCTGTTTCTTTCAGATACTATTATCTCCTGTATGTCGATTAGGACGATACTCATGATAAAATGTCTGCCCTATTATGCTTTCAACGCAGCAATACACATTTCAAATGTCTACAAAATGGAAGTATTGTATTGAGCTTAATTTGTGAGTTAGACACTTTAGTCTAACTTACAATATGTTCGTGAGTGTCGAAATTGTTCCTTTTTGATTGATACTTGAGCGACTTTCATTAAAGTGATTAGGCTTATTACTAAAAAAACAATAATCTATTTCAAACCAGAATAGAAAACTAAATCGATCCTTACATCTCATCGAGTCCTTCGACAATTTTTATGTTGGTCCAAAAATTCAGTCTTGCTTTCCCTCTGAATTTCTTTGAAAAACAAGTCCATCGGAAAATTGTTTGTTTTGTTTTTTTCGCCTGTCATTTTTCGATTTTTCTACTTTTATACAAAAATTATAAGTGTTTGTCAATGCAACTCTGAGAATAATCATAGCCGAGTTTTTGGACAAACGTAAACGTTGTCGAAGGATTCGATGAGATGTAAGAATCGACTTAGTCTTCTATTCTGGTTTGAAATAGATTATTGTTATTTAGTAAGGAGTCTAATCACTTTAATGAAAATCGCTCAAGTATCAATCAAACAGAAACAATTTCAACACTCAAGAGCATTGTAAGCTAGATTAAAATGTCTAACTCACAAATTAAGCTCAATGCAATACTCTCATTTTGTAGACATTTAAAATGTGTATCGCTGCTTTGAAAGCATAATAGCGTAGGTATTTTATCATGAGTGTCCTCCTAAACGACATACAGGAGAAAAATGTTATTTGAAAGAAACAAAAAAAAACAATATTTTATTATATCTCGATGTACTATTCGATAAAGGAAAAGAAAATATTTCATTTGACGTATAAATGAAAACTGAAGAGTTCTCAAGGAAAAGAAAGCAGATTACAGAACCACTACATAGAATGAAATTAAAAGGATAGATAATATCAATTTTTGAGTAGGTTGTTCGCAGTCAG